ACTCCAGTGAAGGCTACACCTTCTATGGATCCACCCACTCCACAAAAGGTCTGCAACATCCATAGCTCCACCCCCTCAGCCATGGCCCCGCCCACTATGTTAAAGGCCCCCGTGGCTCCGCCCACTCACAATAGTCCCACCAGGGTGGGTTTGACGTGCATCTGTCCCTTTCTCTGTGCCCCACACTGATACTTCTCCTTGGCCCCTCCCACCTGGCTTAGTTTTCTTGGCCCCGCCCACCTGCCATCGGCCACTCCCATGTCAAGGCCCGCCCCCTTCCATCACCTGTGAAGTCCTCGTGGTCAAAGGCTGACTCCAGCGGCGGCCCAAAGAGGCTCTTGGACACCTGCTCGTCAGAGGGCGGCGGCTTCTCTGCACAGCTGCGGGCGGGCGGGGAGGTGCAGGTGCTGCTCTCCCCAGCCACCTCGCACCTCATGGCCCTGCACCTGCTGGTCCCCGCCTTGCGCTCTGTTCCCGCTGTTCTCTCCGTGGAGCTTCCTGCCCTCCTCCAGGCTCTGCTCCAAGTCACCCCCGTCGTCACCCCAAGTGAGGTCACCTCTCTGTCGCGTCGCCTGCTTTAGATTCTCCCCAGCACTTAGCATGCCCTCTCAATCATTTGCTATTCTTTTTGCTGTTTTTTGAGGCGGGGTCTCACTGTGTAGCCCTTGCTGGCCTTGAACTCATGGCCATCCTCCTGCCTCAGCCTCCCGAAGGCTGCGCTGACAGGCACCATTTGCTATCCCCACAGTGTGACTCCAAAAGGGAGAGACCTGTCTCGGGCCTGCATGCCCCAAACCCAGCTCGGCACAAGTATACAGCAGGTGCTTAGCAGATGCCGTTTGGGTGACTAAGTGTCCCTCGCCAAACAGCACACCCTCAGTTCCTGTCTACGGCAAGAGAAGCCAGTGGAGGAACAGGGGACACGGCAGGGTGGGGACAGCCCGCCGCCCGCGCACGCTGGCTCCGGTGTACCCTGTGGACCCACCTGGTGGCCCGTGGTGCAGACCGAGGCCTCTGTGGCTTCCCAGCTGTGTCACGGGCCGAGTGGCGCTTCATGGTGCCCTGTGGAGAGACGCAGGCTGCAGGCAGGGGCCCAGCCAGCCAGGCCCGCCCCCTCCGCCCCTCCCACACCTCACCCCTGGGCCCGGAGGGAGGATGAGGCTGCCGGCCGTGGCCCGGAGCTGTGCCGCCGCAGCCTCGGAGCTGCAGGCTGGAGCACGGGTCGGGGCGGGCTTGATGTGCACGTAGAACTTTCTAGGCTCCTCGTCATCGAAGTCGGAGTCGCTGGATGAGAAGCGAGAGGGCTCGGCCGTGCGTGGGCCTCTGTCAAGGAGCCAAGCAGATCCCAACATGCCTCCCTCCAGCCAGCCTCCAAATATAATCACGAGCCTCTCTGCTCAAACCCTTCTAGGTGCCGGGCGTGGTGGCGCACGCCTGTAATCCCGGCACTCGGAAGGCTGAGGCAGGAGGATCATTTCGAGTTCGAGGCCTCCCTGGGCTACACAGTAAGCTCAAGGCCAGCCTGAACTGCATAGGGAGACCATGTCTCAAAAAAAAAAAAAAAAAAAAAAGAACAAACCCTTCTAGGTCTTACACAATGCCGTCATTCACCAGTTGCCAAGCTACTTGGCAAACTCTTATTCAGCAGCTAAACCCCAGCACGGGTGCCCCGCCATCCGGGAAGCCCTCTGGATTCTCGGTCTTGCCCATCCCCGAACCTCAGGGTGGGTGTTCGCAGTGGCAAGACTGGGTCATTCAGGACAGACCTTTGTCCTTGTGGTGCTCGCAGTTGCCCCTAGAGGGCGCCAAAAGGATATTGTTCTGGGTCGCATCGGGCCGGACAGTGAAACCTTCTTCATCCACCTCTGGACACATCTGGAGGGAAGATGTGGTGAGCGAAGTCCCAGCCGCGAAGCTTCCGACACGCACACACCGGCTCGCGCATACACGCACGAACGCACGCACACGCGCAGGCGCCCGGCGTCCCGACCCGCGCGCTACCCCGGCCCGCAGAGCACGGAGGCCCGGCTCTCTGCGGGCAAGCTGCGGCTCCGGCTCCGCAGGGATCTGCGGCCGCCCGTGGGGGGGCGGGAGCGTGCGGCCGCGGCGGGACTGGGACCCCGGCCCCAGCCCAGCTAGGAGGGTGGTGGGACCCTTCTCTCCCGCCCGCAGCCCGGCCCGGCCCGCCCGCCGCACTCACCCCTGAGTCGGGTTCCAGGAAGTCTCTGGGGTGGAGGAAGAGACCTTAGCATCAGCGCCTCTAGCTCATCGGGCCCCTCTGCTCCAGACCCGACGTGGAACTGGGGCTACCGTACGGGACTGTCCGAGCTGAAGGGAGTGGGGCTGCCGGGCTTGTGGGAGGAGTCGGGGGGGATTTGGGGCTGCCGGGGGCCAGAACCCGCTCTGGGCCAGCCTAGGCGGCGTTATCCTGTGCCGAACCCGGGCCAGGCCTCGCCTTGGCACAGGGAGAAGCCCAGGCTGGTGTGGGCAGTGGGCTAGCCTGGGGGGGGGCGGGGCTAGCAGGCGTGGGGATGCCCCGAGTGGGGAGGGCCGGGGCGCTTCCTTACGCAGCCGCGCGCGGTTCCCGCTCCCGCCGGCTCAGTCCAGGCAGGCGAAAGGCCTTGGCTGCCCGCAGTCGCTTCATTGCTGAGGACAGAGGGGCGCAGCTGAGCCCTGGATGGTGCCCCCCACGCCTTCTGCCCCTTCCTGCGCCCTCGGGGTCCAGCCTGGGCAGCCAGGCCCAGACGTACTTGCCTTCCTGCAGGGCGGCTGTGCTGTACGCCTCGAAGTCCAGGGGCCCTGGGGCAGGGTGAGAGGCGTGTGAGCCCGGGCGGACTGCGCCTGGCAGCGGCAACTGCCAGCCACACAGGGCTCCTGCAGCTCGGCTCAGGGTCATTCGACTGCCAGGCCAGAGCTGGGCGTGGCTGGGGTGGACCGAGCAGTCGGTGGGGTCCTGGCTGGGCAGTGCCGCTGTGACTCTCCGCACGGCAGCACTGGGGAGGCACCTGAGGGGTTGGCTTGGCCTGCCTCACATTACTCTTTGGCACCGAGGCTCAGAGAGGTCAAGAAAAACATCTCAGGTCACACAGCAAGCAAGGGGGAGAGGACACAGCTCAGACCCAAATCCAAAATGCCCGCCCTCAATTCCTTTTGGCCCCTGCATCTCAACATCTTCCAGTTGGTCTTTGACTCAGCTCCCTTGGGCCCTGGGCAGCAGGGGGTACAGGTGTCTGCTTTACATGTCCTCTGGGATCTGGTTCTAAGGCTCACGGGTAGGATCAGGCACGCAGCCCTTTCCCTGTGTGGGCTGGAGAGCTGGAACGGTCATCAGCCCGTGCCTGTCTCTTTCTGGTGCTGGGAGTGGGACCCAGGACCTCACATGCACTCTTCTGATGGAGCAACCGGGCCTTCGGAGGCCCTGCCGCCTGGCTCACCCGGCTTCTCCCGGCCCGTGCCTTTGCTCTCCGCAAACTTCCGGAGCAGCATGTCCACGCTGACGTTCTCGATGTTCTGTTTGAACTCCTCGTGCACCTGGGGCAGGTTGGGGGGTCACTTAACAGGTTCCAGGCCCAGCTGCCAGCATCATGCTGCCCCCCCACCGGCCTCACCTGCCCGATCTGCACGTGCGTGTCCTCCACGGAGTGGGCATAGGAGCCCAGCAGCGCCTTCATGTGCCGCAGGTGGGTCTCCTCCATGGCTTGGAAGCGCTGGGGGTGGTGGTGGTTGGGAGGACAGGGCTAGGGAGGCGGGTCATGGGACCCAGCCCGACCAAGCAGAACATCCCAAGTCCCTAGTTGTTGTGATTGATTTGGGGAAGAGCCAAAGGGATTCTGCCCTAGGACTTTTGTGGGAACTATGGAAAAAAAGACACTTTGATTTTTGGTCTTAGGAGTTATTGGGATAGAAATGTAGGCTGCTGATGACCACTCCTCCCTCTGCCCCTCCACCCACCCCCCCCCACACACATTTGATGTCAAGCAGAAGTGAAGGTCTCCAGGGAGGAAAAGAGACTAGACAGGCAGAGACACAACTTCCTGCCAACAGCAATTGAGCACCTGGACCCAACCATGCCTGAAACCTCCCTGGACCCCTAAGAAACTTTTCAGTTCACTGAACCTATAAATCGGTCAGTTTAAATAAAGGTTTCAATCACTTGCAATTTTAAAAAAGTTCTGATTCTTAGTCCTGAGATTCCAGCCTGCATTTTGCACCTTGGGTGGACAGACGCTCAGAGACAAAGTCCCTTCCGAAAGGCCACCTCAACGGTGTGGGATGGAGGCTGACGGGAACTCAGGCCTCTCTGCAGCCAAGAAAACCAGGAGGCCCTTGGCTTCTCAGCTCTGTCCTGCCGTGTTCGAAAATCTCAAGAATAATAGAAATGAAGCACGTGGAGTGGTTTCCCTGCTCCTGGTACTAAACATGAAAACTTCGCAGTGTGACTCATTTAATTTTCACATCTCTGCGAGGCAGGCGCCCTCACCGTCTCTTCACTAAGGGGGAAACTGAGGCACAGCACGAGCTGGCATCTGACACAACTCAGCGCGGCGGCAGGCGGGCGGCCCGTGTCGGGAGGGCCTGGGACGGGGTTCGCGGCTTGGGCTCTGGGGGCTCGCGGC